TTTATTCTGCTTCATTGGTCTGTGCCTATCCATCTGCTAATTGCATATTGTCTTAGTGCTGAATATCATAAGCATTAATATGAATAATACACCTCAGTTTGTTCCTTTCCAAAAAGTGTTAGCTTTTATAGTCCCTTTTGTATCCTCCTACTTGGTATAACCTTGCCACTACCTACAAAAATATTTGGCTGAATTCTAACATTGTCTTAAACATACAGGTCATCTTGGAAAGAAATGATATCATTACTATGTTGAGTATTCTAATCATGAAATACAATGTGCCTCTTAATATACCTATAATTATTGTGAATTCTCTTGTCAGCTTTCTGTAGTTTGAGCAAATAACTCCAATAAATGCTTTGTTAGGCCTACTTTCAAGCTTTGCCTTTGTTTTGAGTGGAAGTAACCTGCCATCTTTTGATTTAATCTAAAGCTGACTAGACGAGGTAAAGCCCCTACCAGACACTGCTAAAGTGGCCGAGAACTGAGGCTAGATCGATCATGGATTTAGGGGAAAACTTGATGCTATTTTCTGCTAAATGAGTATAATTACATGATTCCTAATAAGGTTTTGTTATACCCACAAATCAGCGCCTTGCTCAACTCACATCAGAGAAGCTTCTTTTTGCAGGAAAAGAGAGTCGATGCAGAGACCTATAACTGGACAGTGTGCAGAGCGTGAGGACTTTGAAGGAAACTCTAGCACTGAGAAGGGGAAGTGGGCAAATGGTTCCACTCCTAACCAAGAAGCCCCTGCAATTGACACCTGCTGGGAAAGGGAAAATTGGGTTTCTCCAATAGAGTGTTACTGATCTATCAACAATATTCCAGGGTAGGCCCCATGCCCAGATCTGGCTAACACAAACAACAAAATATCTGCTTTGTGGAATTTTTGTATTACTTTCTTTGCTTTTCCGTTTTCTCTTTTACTGGTTTCTTGTTTGATTTGAATTGATTTTTGTTTCTTGCTTTTGCTTTGAGAGAGAAAGGAGAGAGAACATTAAATTGAGTCAGTTGGGAAGTAGGGAGGATCTAGGAAGAGTTAGAGGAGGGGAAAATCATGAACAAGATATATTGTATGACTAAATAAATAATTGAATAAAAAATAAAATAAAATGGCTTTCTAGTCTTCCCACTTCTATATCTGTCTACTATAACTATTTTCCCCACCTCAGTCAGAATAGTCCTATGAAAAGTAAGTAAAACCATGTCACTCCACAGCTGAAAAATCTACTTTTTGTCATAGAAAACAAAGCCAAAAGCTTTCCAAGGGATTCTAACTCCTACTACCTCCCTCATCATCCCTTTGAACCCTTTTTCTTCTATATAGATTTTCCTATGTCCTATGTCTAAACAAAACCTCACATACAGGGACAGATGAAAGGATAGATGGATGAATCGATGGATGATAGATAATTATGCTGTGTAAATAAATCAGCTCATCAATAAATAAAATCTAATCATTATACCAGGGCTGAATTAATTATAAACCATGGGCTTAATAGCCTATTTTATAAGCAATTAGCACAACATGGTCACTCCTGTTTACATATGGTTGCTTCCTTACTCTACAGTCGGCATGGGTCAGTTGTGGCAGAGTTCTGTAGCCTCCAAATCCTAAATTGTTTAATACATGGTTTTATATTCAGTGACCCTTTCTTTAGATTCACATTAGCCAGGTTCCCTGCTCACCTTCAGGCCTGTCTAATCCAACTTGTCCCAAACTGAGCTTTCCCTCATCTCTCCCAAAATTTAGCATTCTATATTTCTTACGATAAAAAGAGTGGCTGCATTCACTTGGTCAGGCAAATAAGAAATCTAGGTATCAGAAATCCTTAGCAGCATCCTCTGATTATTAATTCCTAATGATTTCAATGATTTCATCTCTCTCTCCTTCTTCCCACTGTCCTAACTCAGAATATAATTACTTTGTGCTCAGACAGTGTTCCAACTGTGCGAGCTATTCTTCTAAATACAGCCTGTTTTCTACAAAGCTGACTGTAGCATTTCTCTACTAGTAAGCAATGCTTTCCTAGCAGTGGCAGGATAAAATTCACACGTTCAAACTCATCAACTAGGCAGTCAATTACTCTTCAGCCCATACCCCCGTCTGCCTCCAGTGCAATCTGCTACTTTTATTCCCACTGCATGTTCTAATAACAGAGCACCAGGTCTCTGACCTTTGTCCATACTGGGCTACCCACTTGAAACTTGCTTTCCCTGTTTCTCTTTCTATTCAACTTTAGAATCTGTGACAACAACCGTTAAGTGACAGACTGACTGGATTAAGGAATGTTTGGAGACATTATTGAGAGTCAGAGTGAAGGTGTTGCCAGAAGAGGTCATCCTGTGAGTCTAAGAGAACCACTTGAGGAAGAACAGCCCTCACTGTGGAAGAACCCAGCTGATCTGTCGGGGCCATGAAAACACAGAAGACTAATTTGTGAATGAGAATTTTCTTCTCGTGCTTTGGACATCAGAACTATTGTCCCACTGACCTCTGCACTCCTGCTCTTACGGCACGCTATCCACCCACACCAAGATCCCTTTATCTGTAGCCTTTTGTCTAAGATGATTTATACTGTAGGCTTCCCTGGTTCTGAGGCCCCTGGAACTACTCTTGAATCCTGGGGTCTCCAGCCCATCATAGGTGGACTATGCTGTTGCTTCTTTGCTGCCATAAATACATCATCTAATTCCCCTAACAGGTCTCCTCTGTAGTATCTATACATGTAACATACCAGTTCTGCCTCTCTAGAAAGCCCTATTAATACAGTACCTAATGTAGGGCTTATCGACTTCTTCGCAACTCGATAATTACAAGGCGCCTTGGATGGACCCTAAACTGTCACTACACATCATGACTGGTGCTGCAGTGGTACCTAATTAAGCACTTTGACTCTTAGAATATCTCTTTTTAACACTTTTTAGTTGACAATATTACACATACATATGTGGTACAGTGTTAAAATTCATACATTCGCACACAGTGCATAAGGATCAAATAGTATTTCCATCTCCTTATATATTTATTGTTTCTTCGTGATAAGATTCACAATTTTTTTTCTCTTTCGGCACAGTTTACGTGTTATAGTCATCCTATTGTGCTGTGGAAAATGGAACTCACTTCTATCTAACTGCATTTTGGTATCCATTATCTTTGCCACTTCCTAAAGAAATAACCTTGGACCTACGGCTATCACATAGAAGCATATAAACCTCTTTCAATTTTTAATGACAAAATCAGAAAGGTTATGAAAAGTTTTGGAGGTAACACAGACAACATGGCAGAGAACACTAGCTGTTTCCTCGGATGCATTCTCTTATTCCTTTTGAAGTCTTAGTTGGGAATGTGCTATAATTTATTCCTTTGATTTGACCAAATTATAATGTATGCTACCTTATAAGTTAAATATGATATAAAATACTCTAACTTAAAACATTTTAGAATGAGTTGTAATTTAAAATAAACACACTGATTTATTTATGGTCTTGAAATGGGGTTCAAGACTTGCTAAATATGGGACTTGACATTTGAGAAAAGAGCAAACAAAATGGTTCTCAGACCTTCTGCTGCCCATTTTCACTGAAACAGGCCAGATAAGAATTTTCTGACTTCCCACTAAAGTACATTATATAAGATAAACCCAGAGGAACCCAGAGAAACATACAATGGTATCCTCAAAGGTACAGAAACGCCAAAAGAACAAAAAAGCCCAAACAAATAGGCCTGCCTCCAGTGTGTTAGTACTCCATCAGCCCCTATTATCCTGTAGTCATATTTCTCTAGAAGCAGATATTTTATCATACAGTATAAGTTTACCTGGGTTTTTAGCGGAAGGTGCTTATTCTAGAGTGTTACTAAGTCATATGTCATATAAAACTTACATAAACATGTTTACTTTTCTCTTAGCAATCTGTCATTTGATTGGGGGATGTCATGGACTTGGTATTATGTGAGGATAACTCTACCCTATAGTTTCATTGTATATGCATCACCTTCTTCCGTATCACTTTCCTTTGCTATACTTCATGGTTAATGTCTTAGAAACAGCCAGGGGAGTTTTCTTCTTTAATATCCCCAGCATTTATCTGATAATAAAAACACAGTATGTGTTCAAGTAACAGATGCTTAATAGATGAAAAGCTAAGTGTTATATTTTTGTATATTTTGTTTGTTTGCTTGCTTTTTGAGACAGGGTTTCTTTGTAGCTTTGGGGCCTGTCCTAGAACTAGCTCTTGTAGACCAGGCTGGCCTCGAACTCACAGAGATTCACCTGCCTCTCCCCCCCAAGTGCTGGGATTAATGGTGTGTGCCACCACTACCTGACTGCTAAGTGTTAGATTTAATATTAAACATCACCGTGGCCAAGTTTAACAATGCAGGCCTGTAATCTCAGATACTTGGGAGGCTGGGGCAGGAGGACCATAACTTGAAGATCTGTCTGGGTTACAGAGTGAGTTACAGGTGACTGGGACACCTTATTAAGACTCTGCTTGAAAAGTAAAAAGAGGGCTTGAGGATAGATCAATGGTAGAGTATTTGCTTATCATATACAAGGCCCTAGTTTTAATTTATACATCTTCAAGAAACATGTCATCGTGGCATAGTGGGATTTCTTTCCAATATCAACTTGAACCAAATAATAAGACACACAACTTTCTGTCTGTGAACCCAACAGTCTGGAAACTAAGTCATAAGGATGACAGGTTCAATATACACTACATAGTGAGTGCCAGGATAGCCAGGCTTTTTATAGCATGTTTCTCTTTGAAAATCTAAACAAAAATGAAGGAAGGAAGGAAGGAAGGAAGGAAAGAAGGAAGGAAGGAAGGAAGGAAAGAAGGAAGGAAGGAAGGAAGGAAGGAAGGAAGGAAGGAAGGAGAGAGAGAGAAAAAAAGAGGAGTGGAGGCAGGCAGACAGACAAACACAGTTAAAAGGCAGACAAGACAGATGTCACATTTTTGGAGGGGAGATATTAAGGATAGGAAACGGTTACCTTGCCAAAGTGTTCAATCAGGATTTCTACCACAATGTTCTGGAATTTGATGTTCATCATAGCAGCCACAGTGTCCTCTTGAGCTCTCATCAGGGTGGGCCCAAAGATCACCCCCATATTGGAAGGTGTCATAAGATTCTCTTTGCTGTGCTCACACACACTGCCAGAAGAAAAAGAAAATGATGAAAAAGATTCATTTTTCTAGTAACGAGAACTATGCTAGGTGTTAAAGGAGATAAGAGACACCAAAGAGTAGAAAAGACGAGGCCAAAAGTGTAGATGGAAGAAAAAAAACACAATGGAAAAGACTAGCAAGTAACACAAGATAGTATGTGCATAGGAGTCAAAGTGAGAGAGAGGAGGAACTAAGAAAGTAAGTCTGAAGGAGTTAGGGGACAGATGTGGAGGTAGCAAAGGGTACGGGGAGGCAGGAGAAAGGCCTGAGTATATGCAAGGCATGGGGAACAGCAGGTCCAATGAATAGCAAAGTAGATTAGAAGTATACCCCAGAGGTGGAGGACTTTCCTAGTAGTCCATTGCTTTCTTTAAAAAAAAAAAGACAGTGGGAAGTATGCCTACTAGTCCTTCTAGTGAGGAATCTGGCCACTCTAGTACTACAGTTAAAAACCTAAAACCTGAAAGACCGAAAAGCACACCACGGTTGACCGCCCCTTGATCAGCTTCTTCATCTTATAAAACAAAGGAGACGGAAAAAGATCTTCCTGAAATCACAGTTGCTGAGCTGGGAAGTAGGTCCTGCAATCTGATCGCCAGATCTCTGCTCTGCTTCAATTCTCGCCACTGGCTACCCATCGCTTACAGGAGAAGCTAAAAGGTCTTTAGAGTGCACAGCTAAAACCTTTTGTAATTTTTTTCCCCAATTCTAATCCGTATGTATAGCCTAGGTTCTAAAGTTAAGCCCAGTTTAGATCCCAAAAGTGCCCTCACAGGCTGCGCAACAGGGAGTTTTAATCCCAACCTCCCTGAGCTTGTTTTTCCTCCTTGTGTAGATTGTGTCTACTTTGGAGCAGTGGAAATGCAAGTGTGACATTGCTTCAAAACGGGACTGCCCAATGCGCTTCTCTTTCTAAGAACCTCCGTTATAGGCACTGCTAATCTTCGACAAGTGTTCCACTCAACTGCTTAGATTAGCGTTTTCTGGCTATACCATGGTTATTGCAGACAGAACTTTCTATCTTTCTCTTATGTCAACCTTTTCCCTCGAATGTCCCCTATCCCATATCTAAAGAATGACTAATTGTTCTTGGAGATTTACTTTAGGTGACATCTATGTCCTTCCAGGTAGCTGAAAATGAGGACTAATGAATTTTACGTCAAAAGTAGCATTTGGTGTGAGGAAGACAATGGATTTCTGGCTTCCCTCGCTCCTGCTTTCTTAAAAACATCTTTTTAATTTTCCAGAAAAAAATACAAATTATACCATTTCCCTCTTCCCTTTCTAATCCCATAGCCTGCTTACCCCCTTTCAAATTCATGTCCTATTTTTTCTTTAATTCTTCTTGCTAGCTACAAGCATGTGCATAACTATATGAATATAACCTGCCAAGTCTGGTTAATGTTGCTTTGTGTGTATATGATTTCGGGTCTATCCATTTGGTACCGTCCTCATCTTAACTGATAATTCTAGCAAGGAGAATACATTGCAATTTTCAGTTTAATTATCTGCTTCTTCTACTAGGTGGTAAACAACTTCCAACTGTGTTCCTGGCACACAACAGTTACTAATTAATTATTTTTATAGGAACTGAACTCCATTAAAGCTCTTTTAAACTACTAGAGGCAGGCAAGTGAAAAACAGGCAGCCCTTTGGCCAGTTTGGCTATGGGGGTGTAGAGGTTAGAATAAGGGGCAGGCCAGCTGCCCACTCAAAATACTAATGCCCAAACTCACCCAGCCAAAGGCCCTGAGAGATTGACCCATGAACAAGCAAGTTCTTGACACTAAGTGGGTAATTAAGGGGGACAGAATCCTTAGACCAATCTTTATAACAAAGTCTCTTAAGCCCTTAACAAAGGCTGGGTGCCATTCAGATGGTAATGAGCTGCCAGCATTCAGGCCTTTGATATTTCTGGCTGCTGATCAGTCCCTTTCAACAGTTTAAATGCCTCTGCAATTAACCTTTATTCTTTAGTGACAGAATTTGTTCAGTTATTAAAATAGCAAAGAATCTCCATGCTGCCACCAAGTGATCTGGAATGGGTAAACCACTGTGGACTAAGCAAGAACCCTCTTCTCCTTTTGTGAGCTTTGAAGAGACCTGGGGTTTGCTCGATACCACTGCAGTTTGCTGTACATTCACAACTGCAGAAAGAAGGATGCTTTATTCTGGGACCTGAGATGAAGCGCCCAGCAGAAAGTGCTCATAATGTCAGTTTGGAAAGGCAGGTGATTCAAACCTGTATTTGTTGGTGCTTGAGTGTAACCACTGTTCCACTGCATCTTCCTGCCTGCTTCAGTAATTCCTCCTGAGAAACAGAAGGCTCTATGGGAGGATTTTAAGCTGAGCTTACTTCTGTTGCTCTGCAGGAGCTTCCTACTATCCCTACTATATTCACCTTTCATGGCGGCCTTCTGGTGAAACCTGGGGAGATTTCTTTCCAAGTGCCACCTCTCGTCTTACAATACACTTCATTTTCGACACAAGGGATTGGCCACTAGAGCTTCATCTATACTAGCCAAGGTCTCTATCACTGAGCTACACCCAAGCCATATACATTTTCCATGTGTTACCTTTCCTAATGCACACATTCGTTTCATTTCATTTAAAAATATTTTATCTGTTAAGAATTCCACACAATGTATTTTGATTATATTTACCCCCCCCTCCACTCATCCCCCCCAACTTTTCCATACCCCCCACACTTTATGTCCTCTTTTTTGCTTTGAATGTAATATCCCATTTGACTCCAATTTGTGTTGTTCATGTACTTCTGGGTGTGGGGCCATCCACTGGAGTGAGTAGTCTTACCAGAAGCCATAACCTTAAAGAAAACAGATTCTCCCTCATGTAGTAGCCACCAACTGTCCATAGCACCGAAGGCGGGGTTTGGGGGGGTCACTAATGAACTCCTCGGCCTCCATGCTAGAATGCTGAACGGCTTGCTCTTGTGCAGGCAATCCTCAGCTGCTCTGAGCTCCTGAGTGCAGCAGCCCTGGCATGCTTCATCACGTCTTTGCTCTATTCTTCCCCAACTTCTGCATCGCATCGTCTTTCTGCTACAGTCCCTGAACCTTGAGAAGGAGGTGGTGAGACAGATGGCCCATATGCGGCTGAGCCCTCCTCGGGCACTTCTTTTCTGCTCTTTGACCAGCTATTAGTTTCTGCCTTAATCACCACCCAGCAGTTAAAAAGAATGAGGAGAGCTGATCACAGTGGTCTAGGGATGGAGTCCTAGGTACTCCGGAGGTTGGGGTGAGAGGATCATTTGAGCCCAAGAGTTTGAAGCCAGTCTGAGAAATGTAACAAGACCTTATATACAGAAGTAATGAATGATGTTCAAAATGATAAACGAAAAAAGTGGCCTGAAGAGCAGTGATATACTAGGACGTGCAATTTATGTACAAATGCAGAAAATATAGACATGTCTTTATATAGAGAGAGTATATACGTATATATGATCTGCCTGGCTAATCTTGCTGCATGATTTTTTATTTGCAAGTTGTGTACAGCAAATTCAACTCTTAAAAGGAGAGGTATAAGTCACAGCTCAATTGTAGATTCATAAATGAGTGAACCCCCAACAACATGCTAAACAGCGAATTACGTAGAAGTTTACAGTATTATTTCCAATCCATAAGGACTAGAACAACTGGGTACAACTTCAGCATCAAAATTAAAAACAAAATATTTAGCTAAACCAGTATAACTTTGGACTGCCTTCTAAATATTTATGCTTTTATCCATAGACTACTACTTCAAGGAATGTGCGTGAATGCAGAGACTGAACACCACAAGAAGTGCTAAGAATAAATCACAGTTAAGAACTGAGCCCTAAACAAAACATCAATAGCATCCTGCTAAGGCTCAAGGACTATTGTGGAAGAAAGAAAGGAAGAATTGGAAGACAAGGAAAGGGGCTGTGAAATGCTATCTTCTGGGCAAGAACCAGCAAGTGCGATGACAAACGCATAACAACTGGGGACATCTGTATAGGGACCGCTCAAGACTGAGCCTGTCACTCACTGTCAGATAAAAAGGGAGGAGGGGCTCAAGGGGCCCCATCTGTCACTGATGAACTATTTGTTGCTGAGAGATTTAGAGAAAGAGGGCGTCGTTGCCAACAGTAGTGCACCCACTAGTGACCCTACCAAGCTCCAAAAGATAGTCCCAGTCTGATGGCTACACTTATAGCCCTGGTTAACTAAGTAGGCCCAAAGCAAACCCAAAATAAAGCAAACCCAAAAGTCATTAATCTGGGAAAGGAAGTGGTATGTGGAGGGGGTAGGGGGAGTTGGTAAGCATAAGAAAGAGACAAAAAACTGTACAGCGAGCATAATCTGAACACATTACAAACATGTATGAAAATGTCAAAGAACTAACTTAATGCAAGATTACAACAAAAGAATGAGCATTTGAAGGAGGTGGTGCTCTCTTTACTGTAGAATATAATAACCCTCCTTGATAGTTTAGATTTGAAGAAATAAACTAAAATTCTTTGAGGAGCACAGGAGTCATGTAAATGAGGTATATTAACCTGGAACACGTGGCTGATCCCTTTAAGCAATCACACATCCACTAAACCACGATGGTACCATTCAACATTATTTCTTGCTTTATGAAACGACCTTTATCATCTAATCATTATGGAGGGGATGAAAAGTGTCCTCTTGACAAAACAGGGCAGCTACACATATGAACTCATAATGGTTGTGACATCACACACAGATCTGGCTATACCAAATTCCAACATGGAGAAGGGAGTTGGGTGTGAAATCCAGCCACTCAATGAGGAGCTGTTGGCAACTGTCAGTTGCTAGGAGATAAAGGGTCAGCTTTTTTATAAAAATATAGGCTCTCATAAGTTGACCATACTCCAGTCCTACATCTATGAATATTAGGGCAGCAAAAGTTGGCATGGATGGCTATAAAAAGACACAAAATTGAGTGTGCAGGGAAGGAGAGGTGGATCTGGGAAGAGC